AAGCCTGGGAAGAAGAGCCTGTGACGAAGATAATGGGAAGAAAAGAAAGGTAAAAAAATGACAGAAGAGTCTGGGAAAAATAGAGTGGGACTAAGACAGTGGGTGGAAGAGAGTGCCAAGAGGCGACTGACTGGGAAGAAGAGAGTGGTAATCGGAGACAGGGAAGAACAGACTGGGAAGAAAAGAGTGGTAAGTGAAGACAGTGAAAAAACAGACTGGGAAGAAGAGACTGGTAAGAAAAGAGTGGAAAGAAAAGACTGGGAAGAAGAGATTGGGAAGAAGATAGTGCCAAGAGGAGACTTGGAAGAAGAGACAGGTCAGACAAGAGTGGGAAGAAGCGACTGGGAAGAAGGGATGGGGAAGAAAGGAATGTGGAGAAGAGAATAGGAAGAACGGAAAGGGAGAAGAGAACGGGAAGAAGAGACTGTTAAGAAATTGGGAAGAGAACTCAAGGAGAGCATGGGAAGAAGAGACAGGGAAGAACTAAATGGGAAGAAAAAACCAGAGAAGAGAGTGCGAAGAATTCGGGAAGAGAATGCGATGAAGAGTGCGAGAAGAAAAGACTGGAAAGAAGGAGAAGAGATGGGGAAAAAGAATGGGAAGCAGAGACTGGGAATAAGAAGAACTGGGAAGAAGAGATTGGTTGTCCAGCAAGCATCATTGGCTTTTACATTGCAAACAGTCTTGAATGTTTCAGACCATCCATGTGTGTGCGCTGTAAAAAGTGTTGGTGCAAAGGTTATATAGAGCACATGAACATGCCCAAAACATGCAAAGAAACCATGCCAAACAATTGTCTACGTCAACGTTTTTTTGACAATCTTGGTTTCAAACAATAAAAACTCAGCACCTAAGCATGTTACCCCTGCTAAGTACTGAGCAGCCACAGGGTTCATCCAGGCAGTGAGGAAGTTGGCAGGGAAACAGCCGATTTTAGACTTGACAGCACCCCATAATCACAAGGCTGGTTGTTGCTTTCAATCCGGGCCCTGACACCAGTGAAAAATGCTTTCAAACCCGAGAGACAGCCCAAAGGAATCTAAGGTTTTTTGGAAAGAAGTCTAAATATGGTCACCCCAACTTGAGCAAGTGGGAGTTCAGGGGGCTCGAAAGACCATTCGGACCATCAAGGTCCAAGTTCATCCAAATTCCAGAATGGAAATCAGAGAAGGTTGTTCGAGCCTGAACGCAGGAGCTCAGTACTTCATTGCAACATATTGGTATACAGGAGTTCATCTCAACATTCGTTGGGAGGATGACAAAGAAAGTCTTTCGAAACCCTTGCGTCTTCAAGGCATCAATGAATGTCGGCAAATGATTTCTCAAACACATGGTGGCCTGCATCAAAAGAACTCCGCGTCAGCTACTGTATGACTCCGCAATTTCTGTTTTTCTGACACTCAGAACAGAGACCTTTAGTCTTGACGATGCCGTGCGAAGAACTTTTATCTTGGAGAAGTGGGAAGTAACAGGCCATTGTTGTGGGCTTCCAGTTGCGCGTCATGATGTTTTGTTGTTTGATTAGCTACATAAACGTGGCCATGGACGTTGGCGAGCAACTCTCACCAGAATAGTTCTTGGTGTTGCTGTTTCCACAAGTCTCAATTTGGAAGTGATGGTGCACCCACAGTTGCGCCTCCGCATTTGTGCCAGGCAAGCGAGGGGAGATTCAGGAGGATGCGTTGTGAGGTGCAAGGGGAAGGAGCTGGGGCCTCATGAGCCAGTCTCGTTGGCAGAGTTTGGGACCGGGTCTACCATTTTTGCATTCGCTATTAGATTGTGGTTTTCAACAATCTGTCCTTGGTAGGTTCGGAAGTCTCACATCATTGTAGGTGATGGGCTGGGAAAAGAGCATGTCTTCTTTTGCACACACTCGCAAGGCAAAATCGCAGTCTGAACTGTGGTGAGGCCATTGACCTCCAGTGAACTTGTGTGAAATGTTCTGCGCGGTGGGATTGGCTCGCCCAACCCATGAATCGCCTGCAAAAGTGTTTGATCTTGATCTTCGTGTTTTCTGTTCTCGTTTACAGAGTTCTTCCACACGACCCCGAGCAGATGCAGGCCGACTTCGCCCACAAGAAATTCTTTGTTCAGAAGAGCACAGAGACCGGCAAGACGGGGAAACCTGATCTTTTTTTGCAGTGGCGATTATGATGCACGCGTGTCAAGGCGGAGGCTTCGGGAGCTCTTGGTCGTCCGGTTGATTCTGGTCCTAGAGGCCTGCTAAACATAGTCCTGCAAAGGAGGTGCTCAAGGTCACGGAATGCCTTGTGGAGGACGTGGAGGGCAGGCGGAATTGTACTTGGCGGTGTTCCCAATTGTCCACAACACCTGCGACCTCCTTTGCTCACATTCATGCAGGCAGAGCAGACCTTCAACCACACCGAAATGTCCTTTTCTTGAATGCACTGAATGCATGCATTCAGCAAGATTGTTCACAGCAAGATCCTGTGCATGAAACCTTCAAAGCCAGTGCGGAGGCAACATGAACAACAATTGTGATTCTGGTTAGGTTTTAAGTATTGTTTTTGGTGTGCTTTCATATACGGGTTCTCAAGTAATTTTTGCGGCGATGGCGAGGCAAAACCTGCGCGCGTGCTTCTACATAATACGTAGCACAACCAACCAACAAAGATCCACATGTCGATGCATATGCGTAATGCAAAGCGACAATACGCACGCGCACACGCGCAAGCTGCCCAGCGAAGATGCGCACGCGGTCCACACAGAGTATTTTAAACACAGAAAAGGGGCCGCCATGGGGCCTGTGTTTTGGTTTTCCTTTGTCTAGACTTAAGTTGTATTGAATTTCATTGAACGTTTAGATTATTGGGACAAACTATTTGCAAACACAATGGAAAAAAGGAAAACGAAAGAAATTGCCGGAAACCAAAATAAGTGAGAAAAGTATCAAACCCCCTCGCAAAAAATCAAAACAGTTCTCAGAGATTCTTGGCTGGACCCACCCCTTCCCCAAGACTTCTCCAGAATGTGTGTAATTGTTTTTTCAAGCTGTTTGATTTTTTGCGCACATCGGTTTCTGATTGGTTTCAGTGTTTTTGCATTTCCGGCATTTTGACATATGAAACTGTAATGAACATGTGGAAGCTGCAGTTTTGAATGAACTATAATTTCATTCTAATTACCATGTTCAAATCTAGTTTGATTCCAATTTCATTCAAAATCAACTTTAATTTCAATCTAACTTGATGTTAACTTATTCAAATCCAAAGCTGATTCAAATCCAATTTGATTCGAAGTCAAGTTTGGTGCTATTTCGATTTCAACTGTAATTCACACCTAATTTCGATATTTAATCTCAATATCATTCTATCTTAACTCAATGTGAATTGAATATTGACTCAGCGCTGATGTGATTTAATGCTTAACTCTAACTCAATTCAACATTAAGTCAAATTCAATTCTATTTTAATTATAGGGAGCCCGTGTTGCCGGGGTTGTGGATTTAAGAAAACAAATGGTACAAA